CAAGGTATATAAAACTTTTCACTCTCTCAAACTTAAAAGAACCTACCTCAAATGGAGAGTTCAGATCCACCTCACCACCAACTCTCATATACTTAGTTTTCCTCTCGTTGACTTCTAGACCAAGTGGTCTTGCAGCTGCTTCAAGGCCTATAAACGCTTCTCTGAGAGCCTGTTCAGACCTACCTATTATGTCAATATCATCAGCAAAACCAAGAAGCTGTGTCAGGCGATTGAAGATTATATCGTTGGTCTGAATACCGGAGTCTCTTACAGCTTTCTCCTCTGCCAAGTTGAACAATAGACAGGCGAGGGCATCTCCTTGCCTAATCCCACTGCTCACTTTAAACTCTTTGGAGTCGTCAGAACCGACGCGTATTCTACATCTCGAGCTGTCCATGGTCATCTTGATTAGGCGTACGAGCTTCTGAGGGATGCTTAGCTCCTCCAAGGCACAGTATAGTTGCGTTCTATCAACGCTGTCGTATGCTGCTTTAAAGTCTAGGAATAAATGGTGGGTGACTACCTTACGCTCCATAGTCTTTTCTAGGATCATCCTCAGAGAGAACAGTTGATCAGTGGTTGAGCGTCCTCTTCGAAATCCAGCCTGATATTTCCCCAGTTCCTTTTCAGAATACGGGAGAATCCTCTCAAAAAGAATGTTAGAGAGCAGTTTATAAGCACACGAAAGGAGTGAGATTCCTCGATAGTTAGCGCATTCTGTTTGATCTCCTTTCTTATGTATTGGGCAGATAATGGCTGTTGCCCATTCCGTAGGCATAGCTTCCCTCTCCCAAATGGCCAGCATTAAATCATGCAGAGCTTTCTTAAGTTCTTCACCTCCACATTTCAACAGCTCTGACTGGATTCCGTCCGGGCCTGGCGCCTTTCCATTTTTCAATTTCATCAGGGCATTTTCCATTCCCTCCTCATCCGGGGGTTCAATAGAATTTAGGGAGTCTTCCTTCATTACTCCTACTTCTCCAGGCACCATTCCTCTGTTTAATGCGTCTTTAAAAATTTTTTTTGTGGCCTACTCGCGTTTAACTCTAGCTACGGTTCTTATCCATCTCAGTTTTCAACATATTAAATAATAGAGTAATTATATAATTATTCTTGATAATTTTTTTTTATTGCTGAAACCTCCAAACTTCAATAAATAATATAATGTATATGGCTCTTAATTGTATATAATTTAGTAATCAATCAGTAATTATGCCACTAATGAACCGCTCGGGTCGATAAAGAATGTAAAAATAAATAAATAAATAACCCTTAAAACTACAAACATACTTTATTAATTAACCAGAACAGCGTTCCAAGGCACTTAGCCCATCTTCAATCTACAAAATATTTAGTATTAGTAAAATAATCATATTAATTACTTGACCTATCTACCTTTCATTGTCTCGGTTCCATATCTATTTGCCACACTGGATGTACACCATGTCCATTTTTATATTAAATAATTTTGTAACTAACGAACAAATTTGAATAGCTGAAAGTTATGGAAAATTGGCTCCCATGAACAAATACAAATATGTGAATATGGTGGCCTGTACCTTCAGAGTACAGATATGTTTTGAAGTATTTTAAAGGGTTATTTGTTCACAGAAAAAAAATTTAAATTCTTGAAATTCCGTTAAGAGAATTATTTACTCCTATAGAGAAATATGATAAAAAAAGCATTTTTTACTTTTTTGAACAATTGTTATAAGGTTCATCACGTTCAAAAACCATTTCATATATCATCGATATTAAAAATTAATAAGACACATTTTTTAGATAGAAACTTCTTCTAGTTTAAATTATATCTCCAAGTTATATGTAAACTATCCTAAGTCCAATTTTTCAGATTATGATTTAAGTATCGTTTTTTGATATTTCCGACTGAACATATTTTTCAAGTATAAGTATTGTATAAGGGTAATCAAATATGAAAAACATTAACAATAAATATGGGCCACTTTCATCTACAAGAAGCAATACAATACTCTGATACCTATTTTTCCTCTTCTGTAAAACTCAAAAAATGTTACGATAGTTTATATGGGATGTAAAGATATTTCTATTTTATTTAAATTCCATTAATGTCATAAATATCAAAGTTATCTGGGTCATCTAATGAGTGAATAGTTTAAAAAAAAACAAAAAAAAACGACTAAATGTACGAAAACTTGAACACCAAGGTCGAATTGTGAAGTTCCTGGACAGGGGCCATATCCTAATGACAGTGAAAGCGTTCTATATTTACAAGTGTGTAACAGTTGTGTTTTTTATACTGTCACTATGTGATGTTTAAATGATGTTCGGACATGTTTCTATTTCAGTTTCTCTTTCAGATCTGTTTTCTTCTCCCATTGTCCTCTGACATGTAGTTAACAAATACATATGATACACCTCACAACGAGATCAAAATAGTATCAAATCTGATTCTAACATTTATTTTCCCCAGGGGATTCTAGCAGTGAGCCGAGAACTTTTTCTAATGTTTAAATAAAAACCATTGACTTTAGATAACGGACCGATTCAGAAAAAAAAAAAAAAATAGTTGGTAGATACCTATAATATGAGTATAATACAAATATAAAACAAGCAGGACCAAATTTGAGATTTTTACCACAAAAAATCTTTAAATACGAATTTTTAAGCAACCGAAAAATTAATTTTTTTAGCACAGAATTTCAACTTATGCCTTCGAACTTTTTCGAAAACCAAAAAGTTTGTAATAATTTCAAGATGAACCCACCATACTAAAATTATCGAGGATTTAGAGGCACAAAAAAACAGCATTAATCTGACATCTTTAAACGCATCAGAACTGAAGATATAGAATAAAAATGTTTGACAAGTTTTTCTTCATATCTAACCTATAAAGGAATAAAATTTAAAAGTTATTGTTATAAACTGGAAGAGCAGGAATTTAGCTTTCTAATGGTGAAGAAAAAAAAAACTAAATGTATATATATTTATATGAGGACCGGGCAAAACTCCAGGCGTGGGTTGCACGCAGGAAAATAATTTTTGATAACTCATATATTTTTTTCATTTCTCAAACAAACAATATTTCATATATGTATTAACATTTCAGTTATGGGATTTTTATTTTAATAAATGTTTTAAAATAAACTTCATCATCTACTCATTCATCATCATTTTCTACTTCATTATCGAAGTCCTCCTGATTGTTGCATATCATCCTTTAATGATGCATATAGTTTCTTTTGATTCGTTTTTGTACTACATCTTTGAATAATCCAGTGAAGTCTGAATAACTTTGAGACTAATTAATAGGACCACTCCCATGATTTGGAAATCTTTTATCCAGATGTTGCTTCTTACGACCAGCAAAATGAACGGGAATTCCGTCATGCTGAAAGTGCTTCAGCATTCTGTAGTTTAGAGGAATGTATAGAGGATTCTCTAATAGTCCTTGTAATTCAAATCGTAATAACTGTTAGTCATAGGCGGATCAACGGATGGGCCTCAGCCCGAAAGCCTCTCCTCCAAATAATGGTAAAATATATCAAAGTCTTATGAAACAAATATTAAAACATTATATCTAAAAATATTATTGTTCGTGTTCAATATGTTCAATATGTTCGTGTTCAAGGATACATTCAATATGATTTAAAGTATCACTTAAACACCATTTCACATAAATAGTTAGTTTTTTTTTATTTTTCTTCCGAAGTAATTATCGTTATATAATAATAATAATAAATAATAATAATAATAAGGCTTAGCGAACCCGAAGGTTCGATGCCGACACCACCAATCACTTGTTACACACCTCCCTCCACCGTTCGCCGTCCAAACCATATCCCTTCAGATCGGCTTTAATGCAATCTTCCCACCTTCGCTTCGGTATACCCCTCGGACGCTTACCATTCGGCACAGCAAATATTAACCTTTTAGGAATTCTCTCGTTACTAAGCCCAACAACTTTACAAGCCCATTTGATTCGCCGCGATGAAATTACCTCAATTATATTACCCGAATACAGCTCACGCAATTCGGCGTTGTGTAACCGTCTGAACTCTCCGGTTAACTCATCCTTCTTCGGTCCGAATATTCTACGCAATATTTTATTTTCAAAAACCTTAAGACGCTGCTCATCCCTTAATGTAAGCGGCCAAGTTTCGCATCCATAAAGAACTGTAGGCAAGATAATTGTTTTATAGATTCTAATTTTTAAGTTTCGGGACAAGAGGCGCGAACTAAGTAGTTTTGTCACAGAAAAATAACAAGCATTTCCCACCTTCAGTCTAACCTTAATCTCTTCTTCAATTTCGTTTTCTCTAGTTATCGTAGAACCTAGATACCTAAATTTATCTACCTGTTCAAACATATTACCATCTATATCGATATCACCAGTAGTATCGCCATTTTTGCAGCTAACCATATATTTTGTTTTATCCACGTTTATTTCGAGTCCTAGTTCTTTACCGGCTTTCATTAACGTTGTCGTATTTAGTTTTATAGTTTCAACGTCTTCGCTTAATAGTTTATTACAATTTTTACAGTTTATTACAATTATCGTTATATATATTAAAAAAATGTTTCAGATCAAAGCCCCTCCCTCAAAATTAAATCCTGGATTTGCAAGTGCTGTTAGTTTATTTAGATGATTGTGTTCCCCATAGTTTGTGAAATGTGTAAACGTTCCTTAACAAGTACTCGGTATAAAATAAAATATAAAATAAAGACTTTGTTTTTTTTAAATCATTTCATTTCTTTTGACATTTGTTGGGATTGGACGCCATTTCCATGTCAGTATATAACAAAAAGACTAAGTTATTAATTTATGCCAAGGACACGATTCCACTTGAAAATTAATATTCTTAATATACCACAATCATTCCATTTTATCTATGCCACAGATCGTCTCCGTTTTTACAATCAGTTTTACTATCCCTTGCCATTCTTGGTGGCCTTAAAAAAGACAGCAGCTACGATTTTTTTTTTTTTTTTTTTCCTGACTCATTCCGAAATCTGTATTCATGAGAAACGCTTCCAATAAATCACGGCCGTCCGAATCTTCATTCACTCGTCCCGAATTTATCTCGCCTGCCATTCATAACTCACAAACGGTTCCTTACCCTTTTTTGTCCTTCGAGATAAGAGAGGGGGAGGGGGTAAGTCACCACCCGCCGGGTACGTATCACACCTCAGCGATTACCTCCACGCATGCGCCTCCCCTTAACCGGAAATCTTCCATCTTGATCGTTTTATTTCCTTTAGTGCCTTTCCGCCGACCCTGTGCTCTGTGACTACTGATGGCGTCCTAATCCATGCGGACACCTCGTGCATCCATTACCGTCTTGCAGGGACCGGCATAACTCTCTCCGGGGTCGGACAAATATTGCTCTTGTCATTGATGCTTTTTCAGTAAACACCCAGTGGGTCTGCTGCGGCATCGTTAGTCGTCTCCGGATCGAAAATAGTTTTAACGTACACATCCGGTTTCCAGTACGGATGTTTTTGATAGCTCAGGTGGACGAGCAAAGAATTTTCCCCAAAATTCCAAGGTGAACCTGAATTAAATATACGTTTGATAATTTTCCAACAGAGACATTCAGATTTTCGGTAATAGTTTAACTCATTCGGAACTTGTACCCAAATGTACGTCAACAGAGAGTTTCTAAACTAAAAAAAGAATTTGAGCCTTTCAATCGACAAGAAACCGCTCGACGATTCCGATTACTTCAGCTATTACGAGACAAACGCTCTAAACTTCCAATTAATTACAAAAGACTCATATACATAACTATAATAAGGCCTATTTGGACTTATGGAGTTGAGCTATGGTACTTCACTAAACCATCGAATTCCTCTCTTATTCCATCCTTACAATCCAAAATCCTTCGTAAAAACTTTGTTACAAATAAAACCATCCATAATGACTTTAATGTTTCTTATGTTTCAGATCTGACCCAATCCAGATACTTATCCTTCCATAATAAACTTCAGAATCATCCTAACCCTCTCGTTTCTAACCTTGCTTCCTCTTCGAATCCTGATAACCCTCAGGGGCGTCTGAAAAGAAAATGGTCCCGTGATCTCCTAATGCAGATATATCATTAGAGTGCTACCATTGGGTAGTTACTCAGCAAGTCTTTTCACGTCATTATATCCATATGTTTAAATTTACTAGATGTATTTCTTTAATGCAGTTGTAAACATCATTAAGAAATAATAAAAAAAAAAAAACAGGCTTCCAAAAGGCACTTCTCACTTCGAAGTTTAGAAATGCAAAATTTGTTATACGAAGAAGAAGCCCAACGCGTTTTTCCTCCATCTCATTTGATCCTCAGGGATTTTCCTAAAAGTACAAGTGTAAAACAAATGATATCTTACTAAATTTACTTATGCGAATTATTTTGCTAACATCCCTTTCACTACTCCACTATTTCCAGGAGCGTACGCATGATAGGGCGTATGGGATTGCACATCGTCCTTAAAAAATGAAAGAAAATAAAACATAATATAACTAAAATTCTTTGCCGAAAATCCTAGTCAAATAATTTTTAAAAATTGTTCTTCTATGAATATGTTGTGTTTCATATAAAAATATTTATAAACTATTTAATATAATATCATACAATTTAAAATCACTTATATACTTGAGATATTCCTACAAGTATTGCCCTTCCCCAATATAAAGACTGTGTACGCCCTTGTCTAATCTTTTACTGAAATGGGTTTTATTAACACAAGGCGCAGTGGAATGCAATGTTTAGTCTGTTCTCTTATTGTTTAAACAATATCTTTGCCATTGTAAATAATACAATATATGGTTTCAAGTGATGCAACCACAAAGATAAAAATAATCGATATGGATTTGTCAATGATATAGAACAATACTATTTCTTTTAGATAATTTGGAAATAGTATAGTTAATACATTAATTCATTGGTTTATTCTTTTTTCATATTCATACTTTGATTGGTGTTATCATATTAAAAATTACGATTTATTGTTTTAATATCTTCATTTGTCAGTATATATTGTAGATATACATAAAATAAATTGAATAATGAAGAATTCATTTAATTTCACTTTAAAATGAGAAATAGGCACCAAGATTTTATTTGAGAAATTTTAACAATTTTTTGTTGGGATTTATCATATAGTCAACTAAAAAAAAAAAAAAAAAATCCCAAAGTGAAAATATCAAGTTTATTCTTGGGGAACCGAACCTACTTTTCTAAACCGTGATAAGTTACAATTGACAAAACAATAACAGATACAATTGATGTTAGTTATATATTCTAGATCACTGTTATCAATGTAATGGAGAATTTCATTACGATCTTACGACAGTTACATAATTTTTTGTTTAGAGATATCACATTAGTTATTCATAATTCTCAGTATTGACTCTTTTACAGTCCAATCAATAACAACATGACATAAACAGACTAGACTGATCAATTCCAGATATGTTATTACGTTTAGCAGTAAAGTATAATACGTAACTTAAAAAAAAATAGTAAAAAAGTATGAATAAATAATAAGTAATGAGAGCGAAGAAGTAATTAGAATAAACGTGTACCTAGGGAGACGTCATTCGGTATGTTAGGTTGTTTCTTGGCTTTTTTCCACTTCTACGGCCATCAATAGTAGTGTTGCCCAAATGCGAGACCGAGACGAGTCTTGGTCTTACAAACTCAGTCGTGGTCTAGGTCTTGGTCTTGCGCAAGACTCTCGTAACAGACTTGCAGTTACCTATTAGCTAATTACAAGAGAGCTATTACTGTATTTTTTTAGATATGAGAAATCTACCTAAATCTGAATGAAAAATTAGAAGAGTTAAATGCGAAAGTATATTGGTTACATCAATTCTTTACATATAGTAACTAAAATTGTCAAGTTTTAGTAACTATTTCACCAACTTTTATTTAAAAAATTGATTTTTTTTTACCAGTCTTGGTCTTGGTCTTGCAACAGATAGGCGGTCTTGGTCTTGCAACAGATAGGCGGTATTGGTCTTGATCTTGCAAAGTGCAAGACCAAGACCGATTTTGGACAACACTGATCAAAAGTAAGGTAGAGGGTTGAAAATGTGTGTGTAAATTGACTTGAAGGAAGAAAAGTACCTTTTAGAGTTATTAACTTCTTTCTCCTCTCTCTCTGAGTTATTTTTCATTCAGGATTTGTGCACCTCTACAACCTCTACTAAGTTAGTTAAAGGGTCACAAAGTTGGAAGTGAATTAGTTCACACTAGCGGGTCCAGGATTAAATTTTGGGAGAAAGGACTCTAGCCCGAAAGTTTTATATATATATTTTAAATATATATATTTAATTTCTTTAAAAGAAAAAGAAAGAAAAACTAACCACATGTGCCTAATGGTGTTTAAGTGATTCTTGAAATCCTTTTAAATGTAATTATTACAATAATACTTTTAAAGATATTTTTTCAAAAATTTTTGGTTTATTATTTTCAATCATGAAACATTGTGATCGACCAAAAAATTCAAAAACATGACCCTCTCTCAAAATTTGAGGTTTCACGTTTCAGGACGCGTAGAATTCGAAAAACGAATAAAAATTTTTTTGTTCGTCCGCCGTCCGCCGTACGCCGTCCGCGCATTTTCTCCGAAACTACTGGACCGATTTTTTTCAAATTTTGGTATAAAATCAGAGGTCACCCGAGGATGATCCTCCTTCATCGACATTACTCTCCGCCTTTAACTTTCAAAATGACGGCCGAAAAACCTGCGTTGCTATGGACTGTAGCTCCTAAACGAATGTACAGATTTCAATGAAACTTCGCTAAAATCATTTTCTCGACGCCCTTTAAATTTATCTATATAACATACTTCAACGAAAAGAAGCTGGAAAAAAAGTTACGAGGGATGGTAAAATTTAATTCCGAATAACTCGAAAAGCTTTTACTTTTTTGTTGATATTAGTTTTAGAAATTTCCTAAAAAACAAAAAAAAATCGTTAAAATCGGACAATTAGGAGCAAAGATATGGTCTCCGGTTTTTTTTTTATGTGTTCTACTCCAAATGTTATATCCTTGGTTTGGTTTTTAAATTTTAAATGTGTTTTTGAACTAATGATATTTTTGTTTAGCATATTAGTAATGATTAAAGAAAAACAGTTTAGTCCAATAATTGGAATCACCTTTTGTTATTTTTTTTTCTTTGTAATTCGGAATACTACTTTAGATGTATAATTGTTTGGAGATAATAAACCATTGCGAAATAATTTGAAGCGTTTTTCATAAGGCATGGTTATATTTTGCCATTTGGCGGAGGGGAACTTTTTTCCCGAAAGCCCCCTCTTTCCTCCCGTAGATCCACCTGTATGTGAGAGTAGTTTAAAGTTTTGAATATTTAGATTTGTAACCCCTCGTGCCTTTTCGATAACTTACATTTGGGAACAAATTATTAAATGCTCAAGAACAAGAGACGAAAAAATAATTCCTTACTTTGATGAGTTTTGAAGTTTATCCGATTAAATCACTTACTTGTTTTAAAAAAAAAATAAAAACTTGTTATATTTCTTTTTGAGAAGTTTTTTTCTTTTATCTTTTAACGAGTACTCCTATTTTTATTACTTTAACAAAATGAACGATTAAGGAATTATTTTTTTTTTTTTTTTTAATATAAATTAAAATTCTTCTGTTGTTTTACAAAAATATAATCCTCTGTAAGGGACTAAGGACGATATAATCGGATTTAAAACAAGACGCCAGGGCTTGGCTGCAGCTCAGATCTCTAAATGCAACGCGGTCAGTGACTCGACTCCTACAGCCGCTAGGTCACTGCCAAGGTATTTTTCGCCCAGTTTTCCCAAGCACAGTTTTCCCTTTCAACGGCTGGTGAAGGACCTCACACCACATGTGGTCTCCGCTGTTTAACAATTCTACCCTCACACTCAGCTTCCGTCAAACGGTGCGCTCTTAGGAATAGTTAGCTGCTCTATTGTTGTATGTTACAGGAGCTTTTAAGGGCACGAGTCATTCCGTACAGAAAGAAACACAACTTTATCACACTCTTAATAATTATTAATAACGTTTAAATAAAATTTACAAGATCGTCTTGATAATTTTATTAATTATTTATTTCTTTTATTTTTTTAGTGTTGAGAAATTCTTAGAGTGCTTTTGAATTATATGGACTCATAAAAATATTTTTCTTAAACATCTAATATTCTCAACACAAAAGAAAAAAAAAAATCATCCAATAATAAATTGGATAAGCACCACATTATACAGATATTTCTATTCTTAACCATATTATTCTTATAATTTTATTATACTAAGGGGGTACTCCCTGTCTTCATAACGGCAGACCAACCCCCATTTTACAAATTATACAACTCTTCATTTAATTGTATTACTCGTTGCTGAAATCGTATAACTTTAATTTACATTTATTTTGTAGTTCAAATCACAGTTCGGATACATTTTATTTAAAAAATCTATATTATACATCGCGTCTTATGGCCACTTTATATTATTATAATTATTGTTAGTACCAATTTGTAACCATAATATATATTCATCTCGTCCAGCTTCAAATAAGCCCAACTCAAATAATTTGAGCCTTTTATTTCTAATATTTTCATTGTACGTTATATTGTGCTTCCATTTCTATTTCATAATAATTATAATTATATCACAATATAATATAAATAATATTATACATAATATAAAAATTAATATATTATATTCAAGAGAAAATACCTAGGTCGAAAAATAACTGCTGCAACCTAAGTAAAATCAAACTACCACCTTCATATGAATACCAGTTTCCGTACAAATTTTTGGTCTAAAATCTTTATTTTGTAGTAGAGTATAAAGTAACAGGAGCTCCACATGCATGGAATTAAATGAACAGCTGATAATTTGTAAAATAATCGCCATAGAAGAGCAGAACTACCGATCCTAGAGTTGGGGTAGAAAAGTTGAACTCCTGTTGCCTCCTACTCTCCTAATACTAAAATAAAATAAAATATGAACGTACCCAAAAACGTTTTTATATAATAGAGAGATTAAGTCATTTCTAATATCATTGTATAGCATTTAAAAAATAAAAAAATAATCTTAATCAAAATATTGTTCTCTTTATAGTAAATATAATTATTTTTCCCTCAAATAAAACATAATTTCATTACATATGTCTCCAATGACTCATTAATTAAATACTTCCAAATAAGTAAGGCTAAGGTCTTGCCTGAAAGACCATGGTATAATTTATTTTAAAATTATATAGTTTTTAAATTATATTCAGGAGTTTTCATTTCAGCACAATGTAAATAGAATCCTACATTTCGAATAAGAATTTAACTTGATATAAGTTATATTTATTTGTTTGATTCGAATTATGCTATGGGAGAAATTCTTAATAAAAAAAAAGTATATTAAAAAAATCACAAACTTTTTTTTTCATAAGCTTTCAAATAAGTAAATAATAAATATTTATGCTCTACCAATATTTACTTAAATTAGGAATCGTTTCACAAAAAGTATAAAGCTTTTTAATATGTTTAAATTTAATTTTTGATATACTTGTTGTAATTTAAAATTATTAATTACAAATCTTCATATCAAAGTTTTATCATTGTACATTTTTTAAACTGAAACATTTACATTTCGGCCGATCTCTAGGATATTTGTAGGTACCATCATCATTTGTTTGTATTCACCGTCGAATAATATATCCAATTAAAATTATGTTATATTTGTTATTAAATCACACTTTTTTTTATCTTTTTTTTTTATAGAAAATTGAACTTTATTCTGGGAATAAGTCCTCTTAGAATAACACAAATAATGAACATAAAATATTCTCAAAATTATTTATTATTGTGATGGAAGAAAAAAAAAAAGAAATTACATATTTATATATTCATCTACACAATTTATAAACAATAGGCTAACCAATAAAAAAACTAGCTTAATACTAAATGTAATTGGAAAATAAAAGATAAATGTATATATACATACATACACATATTTTTTTTTGTATTCTGTATTCTGTATTATATTCTCTCTGTGTACCAATATTACACATATTGATACACAAAGAGATAAAAAGTATAACCTAGATAAATAAAACAATAATTTGTAATGAAAAAATATTGAATAATGCCCAAGAACGAAGTGGACAAGATCAAAACCGATGTAAAGATCTGTCTGAAGGGACTGTCCCAATGAGGACTCAATTTGTAACCCAAGCGGTCCCCTTGTAGAGGAAGCCCAAGGCGCTTGTTTCTTTTTATCTTTTTTTTTTTTTGTACACGGCGGGTTTGTTGAGAGTTTGACTATTTTAGAACCACTTAACCCTCTAACAGGTAATAAATTACCACCCCTTCCACCTTACTAATTGTATTTTTAACGGAGCTAGGAGCATTCCCGGGGTTATTTTCAGCCTAGTCCAAAATTCAGATCCGTTATATTCGGTCTATCTGATTGATCAAAAATATTAAGATGTCAATAAAGATTTTTTATTCCTCACTTCCGAGGGTAGGGAAGCTTGGTATTCTCGTGGGAGGTCAAAAAGAATATTTTGCTCAGTTTCGAAATTTTCCACTCACGTTTTATGTTTTAGATTTCATTGGTTTCCAATCTGTAGTCCAATGTGGATTAATCTACAGGTGTCCAGAGGGAGGTTATATGACGCAAGTTATAAAAATATTTTATTTATGAAAATAAAATATTTATAAATTTTAATAACAATAAATTTTTCTGAAAAATGAGTGACGGGGGCAATAATAATTTTTTGGGTAGTGTATCACCTGCAACAGTTTATACAGTTTATAATTATTATATGTAAATAACGTTATTGTCATATGCAAGTATTAGTAATATATTTATTATTTATGCAATAAGTCGTTTATTTCCAAAACGAACACCACTAAAATTTTAAAAAATTCAAGAAACGCGAATTTTACAAGAAACTAGATTTTACATTCGATTTATAATATCCAAACCAATATTAAAAAAAAAAAAATCTTTATTTGTTGCACATAACTCCGAAAATAACTGATCATTAAAATAACAATCAAGCAAAATGAAACCTACAAGAAAACGGTTCTTTAGGAAAGAATTAAAATTAAAGGCCCGTTTTTAAACAAAAAAATTAATTTAAAAAAATAATTGTCAACATAATATTTTTTTTTTAATTTTCGTTTGAATAAAACTATTAAATAATGTTTTCCTGATTTTTTTAAAAAAATACTTACTGAAATTCAAGTTTCATTGCATTCTTTGATAAAAGAAAAAGGCCGTTTGAAAATTTCGAAAATAATCTTATTTTCACACCACGTTTTTCTAATATTTAGGTTTGTTTTTAAAAAAGAATAATTCTACCATCGGATTCTTTTCTATAGGGAAATCGATACTTATCTGGATTTCCATAAAAATCGATTAGGGTTAATTTTCAATAGTCGTAAATTGTTTCGTTGGATATATGCTTGAATTGAGGTGGCTTTTATTCCTTTTGTCCTCATCTTAGACTAAACTGTTTAATATTTTTATTTCCAAGCCCTTCCATCTGTACTTACTGTAATATTTATTATAATTGTATAAGTATTTTGGGTAAAAAAAAATCAAATATCTGAAATACTCACAAATAAGGCGTTTTCTATATAAAATTAAATAGGTAGTAGATTACTCACCTGAAACAAAAGAAAACAATTATTAATCGACAATTTATACTATGCAATATTAATTATAATTGTTATAATAATTATTTTTATATTAATACAACTTTTTCAAAAATTTATTTTAATGGTGGGAGGAGGTACAATCAAGAGAAAAAACAAACGGTAACCTTATAATACCAGCCGACGTTTCGGTCTAAGTTGCATTTCTTTACCAGAGCTAAATAAAACGAGATACAACAATGGAGTATAAAATAAAAGAAGAATTTATTTTTTCTTATATGATTTTGTATATTTTTATGCATCTATACTTTATCTCATCATTTCATACATTTGTATGGCATTCTGCTACATTTTTGTTGCTATGTGTAAGTACAATATCCTTTTTTTTATTACCTACAATATCTATATTTTTATTTATAGTACCTCCATACTTTTCAATAAGTTTTATACTTTCATTGTTTTATCCTGTTCTGTTGAGACCCGATGAAATGTTGGTGGCATTTTCATAATTATAACTTTCTATCTTGAATGATCTAAACTGTTCTTTAGCTAATAATGTAAGTTGATGACACTCTTAGTAGCCCTTGTTTGGTTGCAGACGTTCCCCAATAAATTAATCCATTTATCTTTATGAAAATGTTAGTCAAAATGATGGATGTATTCTGCTAAGTAATGCTAATTACTGATAATGAGATGCTAAATTGACGCATGCATTAATTTTTTTTAAATTAATGCACGTTTTTCTTTATATTCAATTGAGTAAATCAGAACCGTATTAGTAGCAAAAGTATTTGTTACTTATAATTAGTAGATATTACAGTTACAATTTCCATTTTTATTTTTTTTATCATAGAATATTTAAAAGTCATATGCTTGAAAATATTTTAATAATGACTAGCTAAAAATAGCAAATTGTTCAATATTCTTTTACTAAAAATGTTAGATACATTATGAATTTAATAAAATAAAAATAATGCCGAAATTGAAGCCGCAGTAAGGTTAGGCAGTGCTAATGACGCAAAATTTTTTCATATTTTACTATTGCTATTCTTATTTATCACTAAATACACCCATCCATAGAAATGTATTCGATTAAATTCTGTTAATTTTCAAATTTTCAACATAATTTTTTTTTTATATTCTTTATTGAGATATATTACAATCTGTCACATTCAACGACATTAGTAATAGCGATGAAGAGCAGCTCCTTCATACTATGCATAATAAATAAAAATAATAAACAGCAAT